GTGGAGCTTTCTGCTGTTGTTATAACTTTGTTCTCTCATCAAAAACATGCCTGAAGAGGGTTTAGGTGTCGTCCATGCGTGTCTGAGTAATCTAGTGATCTCTCCTGAGCCCTATTCAAACCCTCCTTATTGTCAGCTGTAAGATTCCATCCAAAACTCAACCCACAAGCGTACGTCCCCCATGCTCCCACACGACACTTCTCCATAAATACACAGAAACATGAAACAAAACTAAAGCACCTGGTGCAGTAGTTTCATCAGTCTGATTGTGTTGTGATAGTGCTCTGGAGGGGGAGTGACTTAATGCAGAGAGCAAAAGTAGGGAGGAAAGGTTAAGCAAACAAAAGTGAAACTGTTGAACGTGTTGCTTTGGGCAAATATAGCATTTTCAGAATAATAAAAGGTAAGATGATGATGTAAATGTTCTGTGTTACAGCTAATACCCCACAGTGTGTAACAGCCCCTCTTTAAACCCACTGTGACATGTGCTTGTGTAGCCACAGCTGCCCACTGCTACTGCCCCTCTGACCACCAGCACTCACTTACATACAGGAAGGGAAGGACACATTTGTTAAAGTTTTATCCAAAACTGACTTTTAAAGGTACACTATGTAACTTTTCTGGTGCTTGTCTCCATGACAATGCTATTGCTTCACTTAGAACTTGCTGTTGTGGGCAATAACTGATGTTTGCCAATATCACTATTCATTTGATAAATTACAAGGACCACATTTGTGTGAAGTTCGAGTGAACAAATAAACTTTTCACATTTGTATTTTCAAGACTAATGTGATGTACTGAGGCCAGACTGGGAATGCCACATGGACACACGCAGACTAAGGCAGAGCTGGAAAAATGTCTGTGCCAAATATTGACTCAATATTAACCGATAAACCATCCTAAAGATAAGATCAACATTGTCCCGCAATGAGGGAAATTACAGTATTGAAAAGCAAAGTTTAAGAACAGCATTAGGTTAAGAACACAAGTGAAAATCAAGATCAATAACTACTAAAAACGAATCAAATGTAACACAACACTGTCTCACAGTAACAGAACACTCACTGAACTACAAGAGTGTGTGACTGTGGTTCTGTACAGCACAGTACATGGACACAGTACACAAGAGCTAAAGTCACCTCAGTGTGTCATAGTATTTGTACACGAGTACTACACAGCAGCTAAAGTGGCTTCAGTGTGTATTTGTACAACCCATGTCTATAAGTGTGCTCCTGTACAGTGAACAGATCAGATAGATTCAGAGCAGGTCATGTGACTGGGGTGGACTGTACTTTTGAGTACTGCACATGATTACCACAGGTGAGTGGTGTTGTAGATGTTTTCAGAAAGGGTAGAAGTAAAAGGCTCGAGACCAACTGGACATCTTAAGCAGGAGAAGTTTATTTACCATCAATAACACAGGCCCAGGGGACTGGAAAAGTCGACACAGTATGATTTCAAAAGTGAACATAGTATAATGTTTGAGTATTCAAGACCTTTTCAGCCTTTCCTTTTCTTTTCTTGCTTCCAGAGGAGGAGTTTATACAATGAGACTATGAAGGACAGAGACTCCAGCTGTGAGCTGAAGACATTTGTCACAGTGAGGGACAGAAGGACACTGGACAAACTGCTCTTCATCATGGACAACAACTCACCCTTATGTAACAATCATCACATCATTGTTGCCTGTTCTTCCTGTGACCTCTTGTATAAAGCTGAGATTTTATATTTTATTACTTATTTTTCTATTTAATTTTTTACTGTATATTTACATTTATATAATGCTTGCTCTTTTTTGCTTTTTATTTAGAATTTATTATTACCATTTCTATGTTTTCTCTTTGTTATTCTATTATATTGTGATGTGTGAGTCCTGTGGTCAAACCATTTCTCTTAATAAAGTTTGTCTAAGTCTAAATTCGAGAGATGCCACAGAGCAGATAATGGTACGCCAAGGGAAGATGATCGTGTTACTGCAGCTCCTGTGAGTCAGTGTTAAGCTGAGAGATGTATGTGGAGGAGAAATTACTTAAATTCTTTTACCGGTAATATTCAGTTACATTTACTTGAGTAACAAATACTTTTTTACTTGTGTGTGAGTAATTTCTTGGACCTTTACTTGGAACTTGTACATAAGTAATATTATTCTGAAGTTACCTGACTCTTTCTTGAGTACATTTTTGACTTCTCTTCCACCTCTGCAGATTCCTGCAGGTTTGGACTCGGGTACAGGGCGAGCACTGTTTATGGAGCAGTGTGACAGGAGCAGGAAGGAAAGACCCCAGCCTCGAGGGTTTTAGGAAGTTTAATGTGGAGTGGAGGAGCTGTTTGTTTACTCTGCACTGTTTCCTCCACAGGTCGGATCTGTCCCTGTCTGTCCACCTGTCCTGTCCCTGTCCACCTGTGCTGTCCCTGCCTGTCCACCTGCCCTGTCCCTGTCTGTACACCTGTCTTGTCCCTGTCTGTCCACCTGTCCTGTCTCTGTACACCTGCCCTGTCCCTGTCTGTACACCTGCCCTGTCCCTGTCTGTACACCTGTCTTGTCCCTGTCTGTCCACCTGTCCTGTATCTGTACACCTGTCCTGTCCCTGTCTCTGTCCACCTGTCCTGTCCCTGTCTGTACACCTGTCCTGTTTCTGTACACCTGTCCTGTCCCTGTCTGTACACCTGTCCTGTCTCTGTACACCTGTCCCTGTCTGTCCACCTGTTCTGTCTCTGTCTGATAGTTGTGGTCAGTTTGGACTTGTCCTGATCGTCACTAAATCAATCTCAGTCCAGGGCAGATGGAACTCTTCTTTTCGGGGTCAGTATATACAGTACTAGTATAGTACAGTAGTAGTAGTATAGTATAGTACTAGTATTGTTTTTTGTGTGTGTTTTTTTTTTTTTTGGAACAGCTGAGTGTCGAATAAATTATTTCTTCCACTGATTTTAGATATGAACTAACAAGTGTTTTATTCCTTTTATTGCAGAACATATTTTTAAAGCGCTCATATTAGGCTGTTTTCCGATCTCTGTTCTAATGTTTCATTCACACATGCAGTGGTGGAGCTAACAGTTTGGGGCCCCCAGGCGGATTTGAGTTTGAGGCCCTCACTATAATGCACTGTTTTGTTATTGTTGTTGTTTTTTGTTTTGTATTTATTTCATATTTATTGTCTGTTTTTCCCCATTGTTCTTAAGACATGCACATCTCTGTTTGAATTAGGATGGACTGGAAACTTGTTTTATTCCTTAGGTCGTCTACGGGATAACCAGAGCTGAAAGTAGTTTTATTTTTCTGCTAGTACAATTACAGTTTTGTTTACATCCATTACGTGTGATTCTGATTGCGTTCAAATCAGGGTCAAGTTGACTCGTTCATTCTAACGTTAAAGGTGGAATACTTTGACAATTGAAACAGATTTGACAATCAGATATTATTTTGATTATTATTATTACCTTTTAAAGTAAACTATTATCATTTAATGTCATATTGAAAATCAAATTGTTCTGAGGCCTCTGCCCATTAGTGGCACTGAGTTGTTGTTTGGGGGTCCCTCCAGGATCCGGGCCCCTAGGCAGCTGCCTACTGTTGCCTAATGGTAGCACCACCTCTGCACACATGTTTAACACACAAAGCAGATTTAGACTGAGTTCTTCTCTCAAACACAAGGTGGAACAGAACATTTTGAGCTTTGGAGAGACAGACTAACAGAATAAGAAAGAGTTACTCAAACATATGTGAATGAAACAAAACACTACTCCAGGTCTGTTTTGGAAGAGGTAACAATATCCTGACATAATTTAAAGCCCACAACATTCTATTTTGTGTAATAGCCTAAAGAACTTTTAACAATCTTGCACATTTAGAATATGTTTGGAGTAGCGCTGCTTTAGGGTTATTGCGTCAATGGCATAAATTGGTTTCACTTTTATTGTTTATCTTATATTGTCGTCATCATTTATCACTCATCAGAAGTTGTTACGGAGACAGGCCCAGTCATTAGCACTTCACATCCCACCCCGAGCCGCGGCCAAACAGCGCGGGCCGGAGGGTGGGGCCGGTGTGGACTGTCCGGTGCGAGGGCGCGGCGGTGTCCGGTTACAGGGGCTCTCTGGGGTCATCATTTATTAACGAGGCGCAGTCCACCTCTGTCCCTGACCGCTGCGGCTCCGACTGCACCGCCACAAGCACTCACCGGGCAGCACAAGGTCACACAGCGGGCTCCGAGGCGCCACGAAGCCGGGCTCAAACCTGGTCTTATCAAACCGGTCCAGACCTGATACGGGACTGAACCGGGACTGAAGCAAGGCTGAACCAGGACTGAACGAGGTCTAAACCAGGACCGAACCAAGACTGTACTGGGACTAAACCAAGACTGAACCAAAACTGAACCAGGAATGAAACAGAACCAAGGCTGACCAAGAAGACTGGACCAGGAGTAAACCATGACTGAGCCAAGACTAACCCGGGACTAAACTGGGCCTGAAAGTGAACTAAAACAAGGCTGTACTGATCGAGACTGAACCAAGAACGAACCAAGACTAAATCAGGACTAAACCAGAACTGACCCAGCCTGAACTAAGACTGCACCAGCACTCAATGAGGACAGAGGCTTGAAATGTTAAAAGTGAACCGGTCCAGGTCTCCAAAAAAGTAATACACCTTCTGAACCAGATCTAAGCCACGACTAGGTAGGTCCAATAAGGCTAACAAAATTAAACTTGCAAAACCTAAATTAAAACAGGGCTACACAACTAAATAGGAAGTGCAAAGTGTTTTCACACGAACAAACCAGTCAAGAAGCAGGTCTAAAATAACCTTATGATCACGAGGTTAGCGCGCTGACGATGACAATGGACAAGAACCAGTTTCGTTACTTATCGCTTCATTGGAGTTGACACAAAGTCTGTCCATAACCTCGCCTTTACTCTTAACTATCAGACAAATCACAACCCTCAGGACCAAAAGGTGACAGTGTGCGCTGCGGTGAACG